CGCGAATTTCATAATTTTATGTTATCACGCGTTACATTTTTTTTTTTTAATAATTCTGAGTTAGAAAGTAGTTAATTCTATTAATTGCTAGGTTAATATTACTTAAATCATTTGAATGATTTAGTATTTTTAAATACACATTTAATAATAAGTAACTATAAAATAAAAACATTCAAATAAGTAGGTAGGTATGAGGTATCCAATATTAATTTATGACAATAAATATTTTTTTATATTGAAAAATGTAATAACTTTTAACTTATAACTTATTTAATGACTTTTACAATATTATAGCGTATCAATAAATCAACTAAAATACTAATACCTAGATAAAATAAAATTATAAGTATCAAATTAGAAGATTTTTAATTTGATAATTATATTTGTATGCTTATTTGTTTGATTATAGTTGTATTTAATTATTTCTATAAAAACTTCTTAAAGATAGTGCATAATGATTATAATATAATATTTTTATTTTATAAGGAATTCAAGTTAAAATTATCAATACTTACTTGCAACATTAATTAATAACACAACTGAATTCATGAGATCATATTAATAATATTGTATTACCTATAATCATATAATAGGTAAAATTATTAGTTATTACTTATTACTTATTAGTTATTAGTTATTACCCTTGCAATCAGCATAATAATAATTGGAAATTGGTATTATAATTTTTAATTTTAAACCTAGTAGTTGTACTATCGTCTATCAAGTAGTTATCACTACACAATTTACAATTATTATTATTAACCTATTTTTACTATGTACTATGTAGATACATAGTAATATAATCTAGGCGCACATTGGGGGTGAATTCAGGGGGTGCTGGAATAATTTATGTTACACAAAACCGAAGGGGGCTTCGCCCCCACACCATCCTAAATCCTAATACTATAATAAATTACATTGCAATTATTTTAAATTTGTATACAATTTGTAAATAGCAATGAATCAAGTGGTTATAACCTTTCATTGATATAATTACGATTTTCTATAATATGATTGCTGCTTATTTTTAATATTTTGACGACAACTGAAACACTGAAACGTGCATTTGTGCAATACTGTTTTAATCGCAAATTCGTGATTTGTTGTCTATTTGTAATGGAAAAAAAAATCCGAACCACAATAATTTATTAATGATTGGTAAAATACTGAAATAAATTTCATAGGGAACTGGGGGTGCTAGTTTAAACCTTGGGGGTGCTAAGCACCCCCAAGCACCCCCCTATGTGAGCCTATGAATATAATATATTGCAACTAGCATAGAATATTGTGTTGTCTGATAATACTTGAGTTCATTAGCATTAGCATTATAATCATAATTCGCTAATCCCTATTTAATACAAAATTTAGATAGGTACCTAGTACCTACTCTTCTTTCATGACAAGTGGTAGATACTTTTAAATTTTAATATTATTCAAATTAATCCCAGTTTACTGTGTGCTAATCTGTTGAATGAAAATAACATTAATAATTATATAAAATATTATTCCCAACAAACACAAACAAGTTGTTCTAAAGTCTATAAATCTAATAGATTTGTTATTCGGTAAATCTATAATCCTTATTTATACATATAAATGTTATTATTAGTATTATACTAAATAGAGACGAACACACAGTGGCGTAACTAGCACAAAATCTTAGGGGGGGGGGGCTATAGCACCACCTCAATATTATACCAAAAGTAACCCATGGGGGCTATGCCCCCCACATCCCCCGATCCATCATCTTAAAATTTTTAAACAACATTTATTTTTAATTATATATTTTATTTATATGCATTGTAAAATAGTTATTAACATATTATTATATATTTATATAAGATTCATTTTTCTTTTGTTGATGACTATGAATTGTTCCAAAATTATCTCAGGATCAATTTCTACATATTTTTTAATATTCAATATCGATAAATTACTAAATCTATCTTGCTCCATTGTAAATCTTAAGTACGTATTAATTCGCCTCATGGCAGAAAATGCACGCTATGATGTTGCTATGAACATTTATTGGGATCATACTACGACCCGTAAGTACGAATAGTAAATAAGTTCGTTGAATGTTGTAACGATAAATTACACACAATTTTGTTTTTTTGATGTAGAGTGTGTTTTTATTCTTATTACAAATATATTATAATGTTGAAAAATATTTGTTTACAATATTTTCTTTTTTGTATATATATATATATGTGCTCTTCGAGCTACAGCGATACTATGGTATTGATAACATTTTCAATACAATATTTTCTTTTAGTCGATATATGTATTTTTGCTCTTCGAGCTACAGATATAATATGATAGGTTTTAAAATGAACAAGTTAAAAGACTCACGTTTAACTTCTGTTTAATGTAACCGTTTGGAAATTGGTGGCAATTGACGATCGTGACAGTGACTGCTGGGCTATCTTCCAAGCTCTCAGAGTATGGCAGCGATGGTGTAACGTAGACTACAATCGGGCGGTGGTATGACTCGTCCTCGATGTGGAATCGTTATGAGATTTGACCTCCTTCCTTCCAACGGGTTTGAACAGTATACAGTAGCTTCAATGGCACGAAGTGGTTACGCAGCGACGAAGTGTAACAGCGCTGACGTTATTTAATCCGTGGTGATTAGAACACTTACAACGGTGTAACATCGGTCGGACGACGGCGACGACGGATGATGCGATTTTACCTCTGAGCGAATATATTACACAGAGAGCTGCAGCTTGATCAGTACAATGATGAGTTGTACCACTGCAGAGTCTGTGTAATATTTGTTTTTCAACGAACGTTTTTACTATATAGCTATCTGCAGCATGAACAATACAAACAATACAATGATGCTGTATCACTGCAGATTTCTATATAGCGGGTTTTAGGGAGATTTTTCCTCTCCCACGCTGAGTAATAGTAGCTTGAAAAGTACAGACGATGCTGTACCAGTACCACTACTAATACTACTGGATTATTGATGTCGTAGGTTCCAATTTTGCAGGGATTTGTATTTAAAGTAGGTAAAACCTTGACAGTCGTAACACTGCATTGTTGCCGCGCACTCTATATTCAACACTGAGCATCCGTGTTGATATGTTTTATTAGTATAGGAACTAAAGGATGTTCTTTTATATATTTTTTATTATAATTTATTAAAAAAATCTACATTACGTTTTAATACATAAAATACAAATAACACGATTAATACATATTATAATACATTTTTTGACCGCTTGGCGCGCGACGATCGCGGCTCACTTTTCGCCTCGCGTACTATAGTAAAGGTAACAATGTTATATGTGTGAGTATAATGTTTCATTATACTTACAACCAATATTACTTCGCTTTTTGTCATATTCTAATCACGTAAAGTATACACGTGGTAGGTATCATTATTTGCGTACAAACGCATTAGGCCACCACTAGATAGCGTGAGCTATTTCATAATACGCTCGTTTTGTCCCGTTACAATGTTAATAAGAAAAATTTCAATGTGATAATCATTTTATTATTATACAGCTAAACTTAAAAAGTACTTATTGGTTACAAATGTTTGTTTTATAAGCTGTATAAATTGTTATGATTTTTTAATGTGATCTGCACTGAAGGCTCGGATGTTTTAGATTACCTATTATACGGCCAAATATCTGATTGTTAATGTTATTTTTAGGATTCTTTTTTTTTTTAATTCTAGGATTTTTTTCCTTCCTCGATGCCGCTCAGGCATTCGACAGGGTATGGCACCCTGGCCTCCTATATAAATTTAAAAAAATCCTCCCACTCGCCTTCTATCTATTTTTTAAATCATATCTCGATAACCGCCAGTTCGCTGTTCGGTACCGCTCAAGTCTCTCGTCTATATCCACTATAGAAGCCGGAGTTCCTCAAGGAGCAATTACAGCACCTGTCCTTTTCAACATCTTCATAGCTGATCAACCCACCTCTCCCTACACGTTCGTTGCTGAATACGCCGATGATAAAGCTATCCTTTCAACCCACGAAAACCCTATCATTGCCTCTCTTCAACTTCAATCTCATCTCTCTCGTTTGGAATCCTGGTGTCAAAATTGGAAAGTCAAAATAAATGAAACCAAAATCCTGCCACATCACTTTTACCCTTAAACATCAAATTTGCCCTCAAATTTCTTTTAACAACATCACAATTCCAACCTCACCAAGCACAAAATACCTAGGTATATATTTTGACAAAAAACTAAACTGGGCCCACCATACTCGTAACATCAAAATTAAACTAAACTCTCGTCTTCGTTCCCTTAAATTCTTCTTTAACGCAAAATCAAAACTTACACTTCACACTAAACTAAACTTATATAAAACTCTCCTTAAACCCATTTGGATGTATGGCATCCAAATATGGGGCTCTGCAAAAAAGTCACATATAAACAAAATTCAAATAACCCAAAATAAATTATTTCGTTTAATAACAAAGGCTCCTTTCTATGTATCCAATCAAACTTTACACTCTGACCTAAAAATGAACACAGTGTTAGAAACCGCTACCAAGTCTTACTCTCGTTACCACAACTCGCTCTTCGACCATCCTAACATCCTAGCTAAAAATCTAACCAACCCTGCAATGCCTGGCAACCCTCCCAAAAGATTGAAAAGAAAGTGGTGCCGCGACCTACTTTCATAATTTAACCTTACGACTCTGACCTGGAGTGTCACCAGTGGGTGGCTTCTCCTTCATGTTTTTCTGGCTGTAATCTTAATTTGTTAACACTTAAGCTTATTATACATAATTTGTATAGATTGTTTAACTCAAATAAAAAAAAAAAAAAAAGGATTTTTTTTTCATTCATGACTCTGGAAGATACATTATACGAATTGCGCAGTAATATTAATTTCAGGAAGAAGAATATCCAGACATCGTAGTTGCATACACTTTCCCAGGAAACGAAGAACAATTCCGAAGGATACTGTTTAGCACTGAGTACATCAACTGGCAGAAGAAATTGGTGTTTCAAACTATACCGTTCAGGATGAAGGCCATCGTGGAAACGATGATTGAGGAAAAAGGACTGAAGAGTCAACTAAACTTAAGTGCCGTGATTAAATGGATGCCAGCCGATGTAGCCGCAAGATTAGACTATGAGTAAGATATGCTATTAAGAAGCTACATACCTACATGTATTACTAGCTGTACTATGTGTACGTAATATAGTCAAAATATTTAAGCTATAATAATAATATGATATTTGACTTCAGAACTTATTGTTTGTTACATTTTTTATGGCAAAATTCAGTATTTAACTTGGGAGTATATACACGATATTATACACAATTATAATAATAATAATAATAATTTTTATTGCTAGTTGTAGACAAATGTGTACAAGTGTATGGTTACATATGGATTAACTAGCTTTGCTCTACACTGAGGTAATACCTCTTATCGTAGAGCAGGAATACTAATCTAGATTAAATTAAATAAAAAATTAAATTTAGAATAATGAAAAAAAAAAATCACAATTTGTTATGATGTATAAGTAATACAATCTAACTTAAGAGTACATTATAATTAATAACAAACATGATTTATAAAAAAAATTTAAACATTGAATATAAAAAAATTGCAAACTAAGTTGTGTAGATAAATAGGTTTTTAAGCATAATATTTCTCATACAATATAATAGATAATTAATAGATTTGAATTATAAAATACTTTTACAGATTATAATAAAACCAATTTTTTAGTTTGTATTTAAAATTCGGATTATTTAAATACTTTCTCAATTCATCCGGGATGATATCTAATGCCCTCAGACCAACTTGCATGAATGTATTAGAAGCTATCTTGGTGTTAGTAAGTGGAATTTCGAAATATTGTTTTCTAAGCTTATGATGATTGTTTTTAATTTTAAATGATTTAGTTTTATAAATAAAACATATCGCTTGCTTTTTATATAGACTCCTCTATGAATTATACCTATATGTCACTTAGTTTATCACTTACTTTGACCTGTTGAGTCCTACCTTCTAAATATGATTTAAAAATTAAATATGCTGATCCAATAATACCAAACAATTTTATACAATTTAGCAGTTTTGGATGAGGTATACTATCAAAAGCTTTACTAAGATCTAAAAATATACCGATAGTTTTATTATGGTTATCTAAATTATCATAAATATCTTTTGTTAAGTTTGCCAGAGCGTCTTCTGTACCTAATCCCTTTCTGAAACCATATTGTGAGTTGGGTAATAAATTGTTTTCTTCTAAATAATTTATGAGCCTAGTTTTGATTGCTTTTTCAAATATTTTGGAAAATACGTTTAATAAACTTATTGGCCTAAAATTAATAAGGTTGGTTTTAGATCCTTTACCTTTATAAATGGGCGATATTAATGCATTTTTGAAGGCATCTGGGATAATCCCTTCTTTTAAAATTTGGTTGAACATTTTTTCTAGAATGTCAGATATAAAGTCTTTAAGATTTTTAATAACATTAATTGAGATTGTGTCTGGACCAGGAGCTGAATCGTTTTTCATATCAGTTATAATTTTGTATAATTCGGTTCTAGTGATCTTTCTTAGATATAATGAACATGAAGGGTTATTGGTATTATATTCATTTTCCTTATTAGAAATATTATCGTTGAGATCTCACATAGTTAAAAAGTAATCGTTAAATTTATTCGTGATTATGGATGCATTTGTTCTGGAGTCGTAGATTATATTATTTATTTTTAAATTTATTTCTGTTGACTTTGCCACATTTTGGTGTGTTGCTTGATTAATGATAGACCAAATTTTTTTTGGATTAGAACTATTATTTTTTACTTTTTCTCCGAAATAAGAGTATTTTGCTTTAGCGATAATTTCAGTTAATTTATTTCTAAATTGTTTGTATTTATTCTTTAGATTAATATTAAATGGTTCTTGTTTACTTAGTTTATGCAATTTATCTCTTTTTTTAATTGCGTTAATTATACCTGGTTGAATCCATGGATTGTTTCTTTTTATTGATTTGTTTGTTCTTTTAGTAGTATAGTAGAATTGCGTATTTAGAATCTATAGATACTAATATAGGTACTATGATATATGCTAATGCATACAATAATTTGGCTCATGATTTTAATCTTTTGCACACATTTAAATTTATTTTATATTATCTATTTTAAAAGTATACGTGATAAATGTTTAATCTAATAGAATTATTAAGACAATAATACCGTATTATAATGGTTTGCCTAAATATGTGCACGTTAAAATTCAACTGCAGTATTGATGCCATTGATAAAGTGGTTATACATTGCAAAAGAGCGAAAGGTACTTAGTCAATAATGTTAATTTTTATTTAAGTGATACAAAATTTGCAACAGCTACACTAACTAATTAGTAATTAATGAAGCAAAACAGATATTAATTTAGCTTGAAGTGTAGTACAAGAGATCGATCTGGCCATTATATTAAATTGAGCTCCTTAATCTCAAAAAAATTGATTTAAAATTGAAAAAAGTAGTCTGATCGATCTCATGACTCAGGACCGGCTCAAGCGAAAATAATGAAATAGGCAAAATCAAATTTTGCCGCCACTAACAATATAATATTATCAGTATTTTGAAAATGCCGCCCTCTTAATAAATAAGTGCTGCTTAAGTGCCGCCCTAGGTGTGGGCCAAGTGCCGCCCTAGGCGTGGGCCAAGTGCCGCCCTAGGCGTGGGCCAAGTGTCGCCTACTCCTAAAGCCGAGACGGGCCTGTCATGACTTCACGCTGAATTCAAATCTCTATGTATAAATTATAATATTTATCAATACAATAATCTTACTTATTGACTCGAAATTGGTTGTTTTTACTTTTAGTACGTTGCACATTCGAAAGACAGTGACAACAAATATCTGAACCCAGTCCAAAACTTTCATGTGCAGTTATTAATTTCACTGGTATTATATGTACTAGGATCTTGAAACTTTTTAAATATTTAGTCAAAAGATTTTCCATAATTTATATTTGTCTACAACATTGTAGTTTTTTATTTTGTTGCTAAAATTGTATACTAAATATGGCTACAATAAATGTTCGTCAATAATTCAACCTCTAAACAGTCTAAACTACACGTATAACTATATTTAACACATAACAAATTAATATTTGTTGTATAAGAGCGTATCTACTATCTAGCGTGTTAAAAAAGCAATCGTTTTTACCTTTAATCAACGCGAGTACACCTATTTAAATGCAGTGGCGCATTTAGAAAATATGCGCCCCGGGGCAACGTATTTTTGCCGCCCTTACCCCCCCCCCCTACAAAAAAAATAAAAATAAATAGTATATGTAAATTTATTAAACATCATTTAAACATTGAGGTTATGTAAAAACTTTTCCTCCAAAAGGTCTTTTTCAGCTTTTAAAATCTTCTTCGTGCTTGTCTAGTAGCAAAATTATTAATAACATGATTATAATTTAGTTTTTTTGTAATTTCGTTTTCAATATTTAGGATTGCCAACGCATTTAATCTTTCCTCTTTTATATTTGATCTTAGGTATGATTTTACTCTTTTTAAAGCTGAAAAAGACCGTTCAGTGAAACAGTTACTACATGATGTACATAATAACATTCTTAACGCAATAACAATGTAAGGATACATTTCAAAAAAATCATTATTTTTGATAAATATAAGCATTTGCTGAATATTTTTAGGTCTTTCATCAACTTTGAGGTTCTTTATATGTGACTTAAAGTGAACACATTCATTGGGAAAAGAACTTCCTAAATCATCTGCATATATATCTTAAAGACATTTTGCCTGTTCTCTGATTTCTACGCTGTTCAATTTTTCCAATTGAAAGAAAAACGAGTATTTTTCAAATAACTGATCATAGCCCATAGGCTATTTTTCTTTTTTCTAGCTCATTTTTGATTCTATCTAAGATAACAAAATATGTACTTATCTTATAATTTATGTCACTGTTGCCAACGTAATAAATAATAATAATAGATTTATGTTTTCATAGCCCATAGGCAGTCTGAATTTATAACATAACAATTAACAAACCTGAAATTGTTTAGCGATCAATTTCGTATGTGTAAATGATTTATGTAAATTACATATTATTTTCAAATTGCTTCATATTTTGTTAGGTACCTAGCGGCTAACATTACTTTAGAACAAATTACAAAATTATATATTTTATATTATTATAATTTTTAATAAATATATAGGTACAAAAACTGCCGCCCCTATAAATTTGCCGCCGGGGGCAATTGCCCCCTTTGCCCCCCCCTAAATGCGCCACTGTTTAAATGAAGTGTGAAACATTAGCGAATGGATAGAAACAAATAACAATTAAATACTAAAGTATTGTTATTAAGAGGATGTCACACCCGCATGTGTTGTCTCCGTCTTACAAATGTACAACATAGCAAAAACTGTTTTTGGGGACAACTTTTATCGCACCAAATTTGTTGTAGAACTACCAAATTTCCACAACACGTAAAGAAGAAATTTATCTGTGCAACAGCTTGTTCTTCTTTTAATAACTCTATCCAATAATTTTTTATAAGCTGCGAATTAAAAAAAAAAAAAACAACCAAATGTTTAGAAGCAAATAACTTTTGTTGTATTTATGTTATCTAAAAATATGGGCACGCTGTTGCATAGATAATTGTCCACCCTAAATTTTCAGAAATCTTGGAGCCACTACTACAAACACAGAAAGATAAAAGTTGTCCCTCGTAAAACAGTTTTTGCTATAAGTATATTTGTAAGACGGAGACAACACAAGCGGGTATGACATCCTCTAAAATATGTCTAAAGTTCTATTAACAAATAACATTTATAAGAGTTCCTTACTACAATATTATAAACATAATGGGCCGTGATATAAATTCTAAGATCGTAATATTAATAGTCCGTGGTTCTAATTTAATAGTAATAAAACCATTTTCTATTTTTCTATAAATTATACTATCTATGCATATTAACCAGCTTGACTTGATGCGCTTAAAATCACTTAAATATGAGTTCATTATTTAATTTTCGTACCTAGTTGGATGGCAAATGGCAATGAAAAAAACCCATGAAATACGGACTGTCAATTTATACGAGGGTTCAATAATTATCGAATTTATATTTTAAACTTATAAATATTATAATCTATGTATTATATTTTAACAATATTATCGAAACCTATAATCATAGGTCGATGATTAATAATATGGGATTAGTATTCTGGTATACGACTGCCGACTATATAATAACATTACATTTTTTATTAAGCTATTTAATGAAATTATAATATTCAATTGTGTATAATAAAAAATTTAAAAATGCAAAAATAATATGTAAAATTTCAAATCTATGGTAAGAAAATCTCCAAATTATGTATATTAAACAGCTTAATCTGTTACATTTTTGTGTCTAGGCGATATGCCTTTGTGTTTGGTGAAAAAAATAATATGTACCTATCTATAAATGCTTAATTTCCATTTTCCGAGTTCTAGTTATGAATTGTGATTTATAACAGTTATAAATATTGATTGAGAGTACCTATTAATTATTATAATGGATGCAACTATGCAAGGTCATTTTAATAATCTGTTAAATTACGTTTAATAACCAATGCGTTGTAATTTAAGATAAGATAAAAAAAAAACTTATATATTTCTTTTACAGAATATAAAAAAAAACAATAGGTATTATCATTGATTATAAATACTAGTATTTATAATCAATGGTATTATATAAGAAAAGAGGATATTTATCAGTTTTTTCAAAATAGAAAATGTTCCTCATTTTAATATGAATTTTAATTTCTCATTGGAATTCAGTAGTTATCTATAAATTATTTTTGTTTCTAGGATTCCAGAAGATGTTTTTATTGACAAATTGAGCTTGGATCACATAGACTTTATTTATTCGCTATGGAAATTTAACGACATTTACCCCAAGTCCGACCTTTGGGATACAGTAAGGCTCAACATTGGTTTAGGTGTATTCAACCGGCATAATAGAGAGCTATTGGCGTGGGCCATGTGTGGCAGTTACCGAGGTCTTGGTACTTTGGAGGTTCATCCAGATTACAGAGGACGTGGATTTGGTAAGCTGATTGTGTTGGCAATAACAAAGGTAATGGGCGAAAATGGTATCTCCCCACATGCAATTATCTTTGAAGAGAACAAAGTCTCATTGGGCTTGTTTGAGAACGTTGGCTACACTCGACCAAATGTACCGGTGGGTTTAATACTAATGTAGGCGGATTTAACAATATGTTTGTAGCGTTCATAAATGTTTATTAATACATTTAGAAGTACAATATTTGTTACCAGCCAATTCAAATAATAAAATATATCATTGATTCTACAATATTATGTTTATCAATGCTTTAGATAAGATTATGAATTAATTTATCGAAGATTGAATCAACCATAGTTTTGTTAACTTAAACACTTTCATTTGTTTAAAAAACAAAATATTTTGTTATAAAATACCTTTATTATACTAATATATTGCCTTATATATTTGTTGGCTCATACTTTTATATTTGTTAATTTAACCAATAAATAAATAAAATGTATTATTCATTCTACAATATATTTTATTAATACCAAATGTTAAAATTATTAATATAATAATTTATTCATATAAGATAATATTGCAATAATTGTTTTGTTAAATCTAAAAAAATATTTGTATTATTTACAAGTACAGTGAAACCTTCGCCAACGGACACCTCCAAACAGTGGACTTTTTTTGGGAATAAGCTACAAACCCTCCGAATAGCGGACACAATTTCAGTGACTGAGAGTGTCCGCTTTATAGAGGTTTCATTGTACAGAGAAATATAATGCCTTTTAATACACAGGACAATTAGGAAACGACATATAAAACTCTACACCCTTCAAATATGTAATGAATTTAACAATGCTATTTTTATGCAAATTGTCCACCCGGAACTTCCTGGTAGTATGCACCGAAGAATGGACAGTCGGACAGAATACATATGCCTACTTAGGTACAACACTTGTATAAGTTTAACTTCGCAATCTTATACTATATTACATAGGAAATCTTCTCATCGTCGTATAGACTGGTAAATTGCAAAATTTAGACGCTAGATTAGAAGCGACATTACCACGGCACTGATAACTATAGTAATTACCAGTTATAATGATATAATTTATTTTTGTAAATTATCATAATAATTTAGCAAAAGATAAAAACATCTCATGTTTGTAAAAAATTACATTTTTGATGTAAGGGCACCAGACATTTTGGTATGGGCAGCTGCCCGCCTTGCCCATAGCTAGAACCGCCACTGCAAATGATGATGATATACAATAATAATCAAAATCATTAAATCGAAATTGTTTTAACAAAAAGATACACATTTCACTTGATCACTTGTGTCGTAGTTTGTAAGGTGAACAACTTTTTTAATGATTATTTTAAAGTTAGAAATAGAACTGACATTTTACTGCAGAATATTCCAAGTTATGCTAAGAAATTAAATATTAGCTAACCCCTGGAATATTAATTAAATAAACAAAAATTCCTGTAAAGCTTATATAGTAACTACTAACTACTAGGTATTAAAAATGGCTATCTTGTCGTATGCGCTCTACTGAGTCTGAGTACCTAGTTGGTCACATAGGCACACACACGAGGCGAGACGGCAGAGTCCAGGCTCAACCGGAAATTTTGGAGGCATGGTAAAATTTGCGTATACATTTTATTATAATGATTAATATAGGTATTCGTGTATATCATGAACATTTTATTTGTAAAAAAATTAAAAATATTTGAGTGTACCACTTCACCAATTTTGTTCATCTAACGAAAACATTGTGTATATTTAATAGTATATTAAGCAGTATAGTAGATAGCAATTATAAATTAAACATGTAATACGAATTGTAGATAAGAGTATAAGAGAATTTTGGTCATTTTGTTTGTTTTTAAAAACACGTCCAAAAGTTGTCAATCTTTTGAAGTTAAGTATTTTTAATACCTGCGGAACGATTCATTCCAAGCCGTGACGACTGGTGAATTCAATGCATTAATAAAAGTGGACCACTCAGACTGTCCATATACCTTCCAGCAAGCTGGTTGCGATCATCGTTGCTAGGTGAACTTAGCTGCGAACAGCAGACCACCAGCCGTCTCACGCTCTGGCACATGGACAAGTCTC